ATATATATGTATATACTGTATTCAGTACAAGATAATACATCTAACAAGATGATCTCATCTACCAACTTCACTGGCCATGTTGGTGTGTTTATATTTTTCATTTCTTTTCTTTCTTTCTTTTTCAACTTTTACCAACAATGGCTCTGTCCTCAGATACCAGCCGGATGGCGCTCATACCTCAGATAAAGCTGAGAGAAATGTTTTGTCACCTGTGGAGTCGGAACTGACTGAGTCAGAGTCCCACTTCAACATGCTTAAAGGTGGCAGCTCCACCCTGCAGACTGCCCTGCACCCCCCTGCCTTACCTTCTGAGCAGTCCTCCAGCGTGGTCAACATGTCCATCAGTGTGTTAGGTAAGAAAACAGCATCACATGGCGAGCATTATCACTTCCTGACTGATTCTAGGCATAACATGACATATTTGTGTGTTCTCTGATCATAGTACTGGTTGTGTGTGTGGTCAGCTACCTCACCACATACCACCTTCAGTCCATTTCCTGTTTGGAAGTGTGGATCTTGGCCTTGCTGTCCGTCTGTCTCGTTATCTTCAGTGGCTGCATGCTGATGGTGTGCAGGCAGCCTCAGACGACCAAGAAGGTGTCCTTTATGGTGTGTAGAGCTCAGAGGAAGTCCTGCATTTTGGTGACATTCATGATATGGCAAGCTGTTTTCATATTTATTCAATATCTAAATCAAGGAGGAAGGGGCCTCTGCAGTCACAAAGTAGGTGTTTCTTATTTTGTGGGCATAGTTGACCCAAGACGTGATTGGTCAGATTGACGGTGGGGTTGGAAGAAGCTGTGGGGCAGCAGGGAGGAGCTTGGTTGATTTGGGCAGGAAGCAAGATGTTTTTTTTTTAAGATTAATATTAGTCATAACTTGAGACACGAAGGTGCCAGCTGCATGACAACTGAACATCGTACATGCGGAGGAATGTGTAAAATTTTGGCTTGGTCAAAACATCCCTAACCAGCCTGTAAAAAGATTGCTAAAATTAAATATGAATTTTAGTCATAATTTAAGACAAGAACAAGCTTGCCGCATACAATTTTAAGTCAAATTATTTTTACAATAATTTTTATTTGAGTCATTGTTCTGTTTTAAACTGTAAGTAGACAATCAATAAATCATATATTTTTACTATTATTATTCCCTCTTTCAAGTTGCCCCACAAGACAAGTCAATCCAACCAATCATGGTTAGGGAAAACTCCACCCACATCAAAACCTCCACCAATCACGGGTAGAGCCATCTTCGCCCAGAGGCAACATGTACTGCAAGGACCACTTTAAATCAAGAGTCGTTTTGACCAACTATGATTTTAAAAATAAATAAATAAAATTATAATTTACTAAACAAGTAGTGTGACAGAATTAACTAGTAGCTCAGCAAAGCTTTAACTACTCAACAAGTGAGTATTTGTGACATCATAGTTAAAAGATAAATTTAGGTACCGTAAAACACAATAAGTAGACTTTACTTAAAAAATTTATGCAAACTCTTTCCCTCAAAAAAAAAAAAGCCCTTTATTTGAAATAAAACTAGATACCGCATAGCGGTAACATAATGACCCCCGCATGCACAAATGCACCAGAACTCAAAGTCTTTATTCATAACAAATGTCATGTTACTATGTGCATCCCAAAATTGTAGTGGTTTTGGGGGGGAGGTTCTTTATTTATTTATTTATTTTGGGTGGGGGGATTGGTTGACCTGATGGATAACCCCTCATCAGCSCCTAAACAACAAAAGAAATCTGAAGCTCCTATGTTTAATAGTTTTTGAGCTATAACCATTTTTGTATGTCCAGATACCCCTTTTTTCAGATAAATTGGGGGTCCGGGGGTGGGGAGCACTGATTGGTGGGCCTGATGGATAGAGCTTCATCAGAGCTAAGCAACAAAAGAAATCTGAAGCTCCTATGTTTAATAGTTTTTGAGCTAAAATCATTCCCCTTTTTCAGATAAATTGGGGTCCGGGCAGGGGGTAGGGCCCTGATTGGTGGGCCTGATGGATAGAACTTCATCAGAGCTAAACAACAAAAGAAATTTGAAGTTCCTGTGTTGAACACTTTCTGAGTTATAAGTGATTTTGCATGTCTGTACACCCCCACTTTGAAAGGAGCCCCCTCCTCAAATATGGGCTGTTGGCTGGTGCAGTGTATGTCAGACTCATCTACAGTCCTGCCAAATTTCATGTTGATCGGTGCAGCTGTTTTTGTGCTACGGTTGACCAAAAATCACTGAAAAAAAAGAAGAAAAAAAAAGAAAGTACAAAAACAATATGACTACTATTTACGCTTCGCGTGTGGGGGTCATAATAATAATAATAAAATGGTGAGGTTTTCTCAATGCGTCTGTAAACATTCAAAATAGGGAATAATCTGTGCAAATTATGGACAACCTGTAACTATAACTTCACATGCATGTGAGCATTTCAGTATTTCACGTGGCAGAAGGTTGCGGGTTTGCCTCCCGGCCTTGCTGGGTTGAGTTTACATGTTCTCCTCATGCTCCTTTGTTGTCCACTTAACAGTCAAGGATTTTTGATGCTTAACAATTAACTTGTCTGACAAAATTGTCAAATAATTTGCTGCAGTGGTCCACCCGTGCTTCAATAACCCATTATTTCTGACTTTTCAACTACTAATGCGGCAACACGACAGACTATAATTTCTGCTTCAGTTAGTTGGCTAAAGGTCTTAGTAATAAAAGTGTGCAAACAAATGTGCAGCTCGTGCAGTGTACCCACTAACTACAGTATACACTGGAGAGCAAAAATGGTGTTTGATGTCAAAGATATGGAATAAATACACAAACTGCTTGCCATACATTCAGCTCAATGAAACTAATTACTTGTGTGGTTGTTGTCATTGCAGGTACCCCTACTGCCTTTTCTGCCTATTCTGAGTGTATTTGTTAATATTTACCTGATGCTTCAGCTGAGTGGAGACACCTGGATCCGTTTCTCTGTGTGGATGGCTGCAGGTCAGTTTCTGAACGGATGAAACTAGAGCTGCTGCACACTTTTAAAGTTATTCAGTCATTTGAGTCACGTTACAGAGTAAGATCGGAACAGTTTGCTTTCTGTATGATAAATCTGAACATCTTAGCCTGTTAGCATAGAGATAGATGAAGGGATTGTCACGTTTTTAATTTTATAGTTTGTTTTTATTACATTATAAATGATTTTATATGTACTGTAATGGATGGATTTTAATGAAAGTCAGAATTGGATATCATCTACAACTGATTTACCTTTGGAGTGAAACCAATTCAAGATGGCCACCAAAATAAACAGACTCAGATGAGTCAGCTAATTTTTCAGATATTGAGCTACATTTTGATGTGGTAGTAGTTAAAAAGCACATAACATCATTTACAAGTTCTGATTAAAAAGATGATCAGAAGATTTTGATCTAAACTCTGCTGTTTGATGTGATGATGGGTGATAGATATTCTTTTAAAGAATGAAAGGCATTTACTTTAGTTTTGACATAAACAAAGTTCATCTCATTTGGCTCCAATAACTATAACCATCCAACAAAATAAAAAATATATAAAATTTTAAATATAAAAAAGATTAAAAAGAGTATAATAATCATTGTATCCTTTAAATTATTAAAATGTGGGATTTTAAATGGTTAAAACTATTTGATAAAAATGTTTTTGGAAACAGGCAAGAAAGAAAATCATATTTAACTGCAGTGTTTTTGACCACTACCACTATAAAAACCTGGTTTGTTATTCTTCCTTTTAAACGGTCCAAACAATACTACAATATTACAAATAAAAATTTTTTTTAGAAAATTGAGCAAAAACACGGCAGCTGAGAGATGATGCCTCTAGGCTAGAAGGTGACCCTGAAAGGAAGAAGCAGGAATAGATAATGGATGGATGGATAAGCAAAACCACATGCTTAAAAATCATTTTATGACTCTTTCAATGTGTAAAAATGAAAAATAAAAATAGAATTCATGCTGAAAATTAGAGGCATAAATGTTAAAGGGTTGAATTTAGATCAGATGTGTGTCTGGTACATTTGACATGTGCCAAATCTGAAACTTGTGTGAAAATCTTTGATATAAATTTATGCACCAATACAGCTCTACTTCACATGTGCAAACCTTTCTAATTTTATCTACCCTAAATCTACCCAAATGTCATTAAATTCATGTAGTTTTTTCTAATCAAAACTATGTATATTTGCAGCATTTTACATTTTGTCCCTGAAACATAAGCTAGATTTGTAGTAAAGCTGTAAGGCTGTCTGACCTCACCCTGACCTTACCCTGAACTCCTGATCTGTGCAGGTTTTCTGATCTACTTCGGTTATGGCATGTGGCACAGTGAGGAGCGACTGCGTCAACTCCAGAGGAAACAGAGCATCAGCGGTGCTCAGGAAAACACGACGCCGGCCGACATCAGCGCAGAAGAAAAAGAGCAGGAGAGCTTCATCAACTCCGAGAAGACCAGCCAGTGTTAAAGTTGACAAAAACTCAGACTTCGAGAGGCGACAGGTGCACAACAGCCCACTGCTGTGAACCAGATGCACCTGTCGCTCCGACCTGCACGCTCCTCTTCCTCACATCTTCAGTCTGCACGAACAATGTTAGTATTCTGGATCAGCAGCCACACAATGAGGAGCGGCTCCGGCTCTGTGATGGACTCACAACCTGTAGGTCCCATCATGCTTTTTCTTAATGTCAGCAGAGGACGACTAGTCCAGACAGGGATTTCACTGGAGAATGTTGAGTTCAGGCCGCAGCAGCAGAGCGTTACAGTTTATGGACTGCAGATTTCTGTGCGTTTGTCTTATCTGTTAATGTGCTGCTTCATATAACAGGACCAAAAATCCAATAGGTTTTTTACAAACAGATATATTTGTTAAACTGTTCTGTGATGCATTGATTCATATTTACACACTTGAAATGCTTATATTTATATGAAGCAGGGGCGTAGCTATGAGGAGGCTAAGCTGGGCCTAGCCCCACACACTTCATAAAAACATACATCATATTAAAAGAGAAAAACTTTATTCTCAAAGAAATTTTTTGGCTCCTAAATTGAATTAAGAATTAAATCTAATGAAACAAAAGCTTTTAGGATGTCAATTAAATTCAATAACTATTAATTAATTTAATTTAAATAATACTTGACTGTTTTTAGGTTTGATTCTAGTTCATCCATTTTCTGTACACCCGGGTCGCATGGGTCACTGGTGCCCAAATCTAGCAGTCACAGTGCGAGGGGCGGGGTACACCCTGTACAGGTCGCAAGTCCATCACAGGGCCACACAAAGAGACAAACAACCATTCACTCTCTCACTCACATCTAGGGACAATTTGGAGTTATCAGTTGACCTAACAGTCATGTTTTTGGTCTGTGGGAGGAAGCCAGAGTACCGAGGGAGAACCCTTGTATGCATGGAGAGAACACGCAAACTCTACCCAGAAAGGTCCCCAGGCCGTGATTTGAACCAGCAACCTTCTTGCTGAGAGGCATCAGCTCTACCAATTGAGCCACCGTGCTGCCTTAATTCTAGTCATTTTAGTTTATGTCTACATTTCCAATTTTTCAACAAATAGTTTGGCTGTGATGTTTTAGTGGACGCTGTGAATTTTAGTTGTCTTAACTGTGTCTGATGTTAAAGTTTTAGGGCCACTCAAAAGAAAATAATTTGTAAAGTTATGTTGACATAAAACTCATTGTTTTATGTCAACATTATTATTATTTTTCTCTGGTAAAACTCATACTACAGGCTCAGGGGCTACAAACTTTAAGGAATTTGTCATAAATAAAACATTTTCTGAATGAAAAAAACTGTATTTATTTATGCAGAACATAAGGTTACATAAGGTTTATGATCACAGTTTTAATTAAAGAAAAGGGGAAAATATATTTTGATTTTATTCTCAACATCTTTACTAAAATCCTTCAACTGGGACAAAAATACCTTGGTTTTTTTTTCTGAGTGACCCTAATGCTCCATTGTAATATTTTAAAAACAGCTTTATTGTTTTGGTATTTTATCAGCAGTATTTTAAATAAATTGCCTTGTATTGTACAAGTTATACTCAGTTATGTGGCCCAAACACTTTTATTCAGGCTCAGTTGTAAACTCATTTCTGGCCATGCTGCTGATAGAAAACATTCGTGTACATTATGGTCTTTTCTGCACTACTTCAGATATTTCTGTCAATATATGCATGATTTTAACAAACAAGTGCTGACATACTTTTGCTGCACCTTTAAAGACATTTCAAAGTCCTTGGCTAAAGATGTATCCCAAAATCCTAAAATTGAATCCTTACATGCAGCGAGTAGACGCCCTCTGAATGAAACCAAGTAAAAAAATTTTTTAGCTAGCATCCGTTGTTTATGCAAAAACATAAGTAAGTTTTATTTATATAGCACCTTTCATTGAAATAAATATTAATGCTGCACTTAATTCTTATTTATTATTTCAATTGTTGATCACAGCTGGTAGCAAAAGGTAGAAAATCATAGAGAACCATATTTTCGACAAGTGTCATCACTCATGATGCTCCGGGGACTCTGCAATACCTTTGTTTTCAGTTGAGGTAATAAATAACTAAGAAAGAATCAACAATTTTTTTTGAAGTGTTTTTAGCGTAAAAATGGAAAACTGTCATTTTGCTCAACTTAACGCAGGTCTAGTTGGTTTATGTATGCAAGGACATCATTTATGAATTCTATTGTATTTGTACAATTTAAGTTATTAAGCATTTCAGCACATAACTGAGGTTTAGTGGTGACAAGATCAGGATAAGATAATATAGAAGGCGAAGAAAAATCAGTAAAAGAAGTTCCACTGTTAAAATTTTGGGAAAAGGTTTAATAGCTTTATTAAATTATTTTGGAAAACGTTTTCAGTTTTTCCTCATCAAAACGTGTGTGTGGCCAAGCGGTGCAAACACAACAAACCTGTGTTGACAGAAATATCCAGAGCAGTGCGGATGAGACCTGCGTCACATTGTCTTTATGAGACCCAGTTGAAGCGACGGGGAGATGGTTGTTTTTGTGAAGTTTCATGTATTAAATCGTGCTAACTTTTCCTGTAGTTAATGAAGTTTCTCTGGTGCACAGGTTTACGTTTTTATTGCTGCTTCAGTGTTTGTGTTGATGACAAACTGTTACAACCAGAATATGGAGATTGTTCTTGTTAAAATCTGTGGTCTTTTTTTTTCCTTTCAAACTTTCACATTATGACATGATGACAAATGTTTTCCTGCCTGTCTTGATATTTTGTGCTGTTTTCAAGTTGTATGTTTTTTACCAAATTGCTCTGTTACCTGAAAGCTTTTTGTTTTTAAGTGTAAACTTGTGTCAGAATTTTAAAAATAAGGAAAAAAAAGCATTTTGTGGTGGAAATGTGGATGATAATCAATAATTTAGTATCTTCTTTTAAGGCCATCTATTGTTGATTTCTTTTAAACTGCGGCTGAGGGGCATCAGTATTTTTTACACCATTTGATCTCATGTAGAGAAATTCAACTTTTTATATTATTATTATTTAAATAACTTAAATAACCTGAACATCTACAGGGTGCAGAGTCTTCCAGCAGGTTACAGCAGAAAATACACACTGTGGTGACATCAGCTGCACAAACACAAACAAATAAAATCAGTGTTTTCTTTTAGATGCTTTGTTATTTTTTCATGACCTCCACCTGCATGTTTAAATGTAAACTGCGATATGTTTGGAGTTTTTATGAACATATGTCAAGCTAGCTTTAAAAGGGGACACACCATGCAGATTCCACTTTTTTTTGCTGTTAAATGCATTTTGTTGTGTGCTTGGGAGTCTCCAGGAGTGCAAAAATGTGAATTTAGTCTCTCCTGGTGCTGTGTAGATATCTTTATACTCTGTTTGGGTCCAAATTTTCAACTTCTCATTCAGTTTTCTCTATTTTCTATTATGTTTTTTGAACCACTGTGTCAAATTGTTTGCAACAGAACCAACATATAAGGTCTGGACTTACCAGCTACAAATTCATAATCTTCATCCTCCTCTGGCTCTGGGTCAGACTCAGTTTCTGGATCAGACTCTGGCTCCAACAAGTAAGACTGCATTGGACAAGTCTTCTGTTGTTGACATCTTTAAATAAAATATTTCTGTGCTGCTATATAGTCATAAACCCCTCTATCTGTTAAGATTAGGCAGGAAAGAACCTATTGCACAGGCAGTTTCAAAAAGGCAAAAATAAAGTATTTAATATAAAGTAAAAGGCTGACAGGGCTGCACAAAAAACTCACTTGACATGGCGTAAGACAGAGCGCAAGGAACAAGAAAAACAAAACAGGCTGAAAACAGAACAATGATTCGACAAACACTGAAGACAGGACACAGAATATAAAGGCCAACTAATGAGAGAAAACAAAAAAACACCCAGGAAAGAAACATGAGGAGCAGGTGAGAGCGGGCGGGGCTGGAGCAAACACAGGCAGGAGGGGGTGAACAGAGGGACAAAACAGAAAACCAGACTAGAACTAAAATAAGACATTAACACAGACACAGACCATAACACTTTCAAGCTGGAATGTACCGATCAGGAGGCTGGAGGGGGTGGGGTGTTTCATACACTATAATAAAAAAAATCAGTTAAAAATGGCAAATGTCATGGCATAATATTTTTTTATTTTTAAAGAAATTTCTGTCAACTAAAAAAATGTATTTTCCTGTAATTTTATTAATTATTATGTCAACGTTATATGCAGAATATTAATGTACAGAAGGCTTTTTATGCTGTCTAATGAGACCTGCACAGATTACAGCAAACTAACAGCAGCTGCAGTTGCCAAAATGTCACTGTAGAAAATAATGATCACAATGTTTGTGACATTATTGTAGGATTTTTTTTTCACTAACAGTAGAGGACCATTACCGGTTTTTGTTTACAGAAAATTACCATGAAAAACATAGATATACTGTAAAAGGTTTTGTGGCAAGTTGCTGTAAAAATTACTCTTATAATACGAACCTGACACTAAACTCTTAAAAGTAACAGATATACTTTCAACATGTTTACAGTCTATATAAGTGAAAAACACATGTAGTATTTGATTGCACAGTTCAACTTTTCGGTAAAATACTGGCAGCTGTGGTTGCCAGAATTTGACAAAATAAAATGTGGTTCGACAGATGAGGATTACAGTTTGTTGGAGGGTTCTTTGCCCCAATAACACAAGTATTCTTTATTACTATAATTTACCCATCTGTTTAGAATATGGTTAAGATTATCACCAGTGTAGAGGAAAATGAGGATGCAGACACTACACTGTTCTGTGGGGGGCATCAGATCAGTTTTTATTGATAAATTCTTATTTATCCTTTATAAATCAAACTTACATACACCAAAGTGTGAGATCCTAAGGTTCAAACGCACGAATACTCAGTGATGAAGAAACCATCTTTGTCTGTATGAATTTGTAACAAAAATACATAGAAAGATCAGACTTCATTGAATAAGAATAAAAGAGTAAAAAAGAATAACGTAAAAGTCTAAGGTAATAAATGTTTAGGAAAATAGTTTAAAAGTAAAAGTAAAGTAGACTTGATGTTATAGTCTAAATTTAAGATTAAAGGTTGATGTTTAAGAGCTGAAAATAGTTTAAGAAACAAGAAGATTTGTTCACATATTGGTCAGATTAAAAGTTAGCTTAATTTGACTGCAGATAATAGAGATCAAAATGCCTCAGACTACTGAGTTTTGTGAAGCATTTGTGACGCTTTAATAGCTACAGCTTTACGGCTCACCACAGGTTGGAGACATTGGCTTGCCTCAGCAGGGTGACAGCCTCAGCTGGGGACTCATTCGGCGTGTATCCACACGAGTTCAGAGCTGTCCGGGAGGTCATCACTTCAGAGGACAGAAGCAGGTTCTGTGGCTTCCAGTCAACACGCCTCAGTTAGCTTTATCAGCTGGCACCGTTTCAGACCCCCGTTCAGGGTCGACTCAGACTTCTGCAGCTTAAAACGAAATAGAACTACTTTTCTCCTTCAGATGGTTAGCTCATCCATCTGAAGATGACTTGATGTTTCAGCTGAACTCTCTTTTTTAATGACCCACTTTCTGTTGGCAGCTTCTTAGGGCAGACAAAACACAAACGTACAGTTAGGTCCATATTTGGACGGAGACAACATTTATCTAATTTTGGTTTTAGACATTACCACAATTAATTTTAAACAAAACAATTCGGATGCAGTTAAGTTCAGACTTTCAGCTTTAATTCAGTGGGTTGAACAAAATGATTGCATAAAAATGTGAGGGACAAAACATCTTTTAAACACAATTCCTTCATTTCAGAGGCTCAAAAGTAATTGGACAGATTAAATAATTGTAAATAAAATGTTCATTTCTAGTACTTGGTTGAAAAGCCTTTGTTGACAATGACTGCCTGAAGTCTTGAACTCATGGACATCACCAGACGCTGTGTTTCCTTATTTTTAATGCTCTGCCAGGCCTTCACTGTGGTAGTTTTCAGTTGCTGCTTGTTTGTGTGCCTTTCTGTGTGAAGTTTATTAACAAGTGAAATGCTGCTCAACTGGGTTGAGATCAGGTGACTGACTTGGCCATTAAAGAATATTCGACTTCTTTGCTTTAATAAACTCCTGGGTTGCTTTGGCTTTATGTTTTGGGTCGTTGTCCATCTGTAGTATGAAACAACGGCCAATCAGTTTGACTGCGTTTGGCTGGATCTGAGCACACAGTAAGGCTCTGAATACCTCAGAATTCATTCGGCTGCTTCTGTCCTGTGTCACATCATCAATAAACACTAGTGACCCAGTGCCACTGGAAGCCATGCATGCCCAAGCCATGACCCATCACACTGCTCTGCTGTGTTTTACAGATGATGTGGTATGCTTTAGATCATGAGCTGTACCACGCCTTCACCAGACTTTTCTCTTTCCATCATTCTGGTAGAGGTTGATCTTGGTTTCATCTGTCCAAAGAATGCTCTTCCAGAACTGTGCTGCTTTTTTAGATGGTTTTGTTTTTAGCAAAGTCCAGTCTAGCCTTTTTATTCTTGATGCTTATGAGTGGCTTGCACCGTGCAGTGAACCCTCTATATTTACTTTCATGCAGTCTCTATGGTAGATTTGGATATTGATACACCTACCTCCTGGGCTGTTGTTCACTTGGTTGGCTGTTGTGAAGGGGTTTCTCTTCACCATGGAGATTATTCTGCGATCATCCACCACTGTTGTCTTCTGTGGATGCCCATGTCTTTTTGCATTGATGAGTTCACCAGTGCTGACTCAAGGATGGCTTGTTTCACCTGCATGGAGAGCTCCTTTGACTGCATGTTTACTTCACAGCAAAGCCTTCCAAATGCAAACACTACACCTCAAATCAACTCCAGGGCTTTTATCTGCTTAAGTGAGAATGACATACTGAAGGGATTGCCCATGCCTGCCTTGGAGTCAATTGTCCAATTACTTTTGGTCCCTTTAAAAACAGGATGGCACATGTTAAGGAGCTGAAACTCCTAAACCCTTCATCCACTTTTAATGTGGCTACCCTCAAATGAAAGCTGAATGTCTGGACTTTATGTCCATGTACATTATATAACTTGAATATGTTTCAGTAAACAGGTAAAAAGACAAAATTTGTGTCAGTGTCCAAATATATAAATATATAAAAATATACCTAACTGTATTTACTTCTCAGGGTCAGATTTCTACAGACCAAAGTATTTCACTTGGGAAAAATATTTTGATTTAAGCACAGCTGTTTGTACCTGGTGAAAACATGGTCAAAATGACGTTTGAGATTGTTTTGGCAATATTTATTTGACAAAGATAAAAATTCGTGGTCCAAGAATGAAGGTCCGTGGGCTGGGAATGGAGGGTTAGCTGGATTTGGGCCTGGTCTTTGTTTGATATTAATCTCGCCAGGTTCTTCCATGTTGTTAGTAAAATCCAGGAGGGGGCATTCCACTTGCTGTCCTGTTGGGATATCAGAGTCCAAGAGATCCTGTGTTTGTGATGCTGGTTCTGCAGGTTGAAGTAACTCATCTCTCTCTGGTTTTGATTCTGAAGCAGTCTCCTTATCAGTAACTGGCCAGCTGTCCTTCAGATGTCAGCTGTTGTGGTTTGTCCTGTTGTTTGTTTCCAGCCAGAACTTTATTCAGGAAATACTTCATGTTTGAAGCCAGAAGCTGTGCTCCAATTTGATTCAGTCATTCCATCAGACCTGAAGAGATATTTTCTTTCCCAGGAGAGATCAAAGTTATCCACAAAACTCACAGAGTGGTCAACACAGGACTTTTCCAAAAAGCCATTGAGAGCCACCAGTCTGCTGAACCTCTCAGCCCCTCCTCTGGCTGTAAGAACGGGCCCACTGAGGAACACATCCATGTTGAGATTTTTAACTGCATTCAGCAGCAGCATACAAGCCTTCTTCAGGATTTCTGACTGTCGGTTCATACCTTCATCACTTCCTGTATGAATGATGAGCTTCTTCAGAGATGGATACTCAGCTGAGATTTCCAGAACCTTCTCTGCGAGGTCAGACACTTTATCAGCAAAACTCAGAACTTTGACTTTTTCTTGTTCCAGAAGCCTCTGATCTCATTCACCATTTTATCTGTGATGATCAGCATTTCTTGATTTTTGAAAGTCTCTGTTCGGACTTGTTTTGGCTTTGAGTTGGATCTGGATCTGGTCTCAGATCCCTCACCGAGATCAGATAGGGAACTTTGATCAGACTCACCAGCTTCTTCCAGGGGTGTGAATCTGTTTTGAAGAAACACTGCTTCATTTCTCTGGCCGTTATCAGGTGTTTTGATTACAGCCTGTTTCTTTCTTCTCCTTGCTGGAGGAGAAAAAACATTTCTCTGTAATTCTGGCCATTCGATGTCATCTGAGAGCTGAATCCTTCCTGAGAGAATTTTTGGTCTGGCACAAAGAGAGTTCCATACAGTTTTACACTCAGAAGCAGCTTCCATCTCCTCTCCATGTTGATCTCTCATCTCYGCCTTCTCACCCATTTTAARYCATGTRYAGTTCTCCAAAGCATTCATCTCTTCCAAACGATGAATCTTGAGCTCCAACACTGTCACCTTTTGGAGAAGCTGGCAGAAATCCTCTTTGGAAAAGTAAGGAGGCATCTTGAAGCTTTTATTCACTCACTTTCAGCAGATGATGTTTCAAAAATCTTCTCAGGTTCTTCAACAGCCAAAAATAAAAATTCAATGTTCATTTTTTTTATTCAAGATCATCCATCACAATCATCACCAGTGTATCTCTGTTGTTAAAACAATTTACTATAAAAAAGGTTCTTTTCATCCAGCTGGAGTCACGGTCCTGAGCAGTCCAGTCCATGCTCACTCATATCAGTCCACCTGCAATGTGGCCTTGGTCCGTCAATCTCCTAGTGGTCTCTGTGACAATGCCAAACTGTTTTGGCAAAATTTATTTAACAAAGACAAAAATATGTGGTCCAAGAATGAAGGTACTCCATGAGATGATCAGCTGAGGTTTATTGCAACAACAGGAAACACAGAGAACAACCTGGCCTGTCTCTGTGCCTCTGCTTCTCTCTGTCACTGTCTCTCCACTGTCCACTGTCCACTGTTTCACCCCACTACTCACTGTTGAACACTGTCTCGAGAGGCCTCATATATATATTAACAAACACCATAATGTCATCTTAGCAAGATTTGATACAAGGTCAATGGAAAACACAAAGATAAACACAAGTGATGTCTAAGAATGACTGTTGTTAGCAAATCTTGTTCTGACTTTAATCATACTATCTGCAGATGAACAGCATATCATGAAAACCTAGGTCATTAAAGGATGTCATGAATTACTWGCTTAAACATAAAAGTATTAGTTCCATTACACAGATCAATATTCAATTTCAAACAATGTGATCAACAATGCTTGAATAATGCTTTTTAAAAGAAAAAATATTTTACGGAAATGTAATAATTGTTTTCTGTTTTTATATATTTAATCACAAAAGATTAAAACAGACTAATAAAAGCTCAGAGTTTGACTCTAAAGAAGCTTTTTCAGAACAGAGTTCAGTTTGAGAGAGATCATGACCTGTAGGGCCAGGAGGTCATGCTGGCAGAGAGGTCCTTCATGCTACACCACGATCACTGGTAAAATTTGCTGTGGTAGTAGCTGAAACTTATCTACAACATACTTTGAGCACTAATACTGTAGATTGTGTAATTTGTCTGTTTAAAACTTTGGCCTTAGTAAAATATCTCAAGAACCACTGGACAGGTTGACATTAAATTTAAATAAAATAATCATTAGTGGTATGTCAACTGATTAACTTGTTAAGTCAACACAGTTCAGGATGGGCATCACAGCTAATTGACCTTTTCAAGCTGAAAACTTCATAATAATTCCATCATATATTAAGCTGGTGGCAGAGACATAGGACTAATACTGAAACATCTTAGTTTAAAACCAGCACATATGTAGGAGACATGCATTCCTTCCATCTTGTTTTTACAGTCTTTGGTTTTAAAACAGGTCCTGGAAACTTTTACACAAACATTCAAAAAGTTCACCCTCATGTCCTGCAGAGGGCCTCTGACCACAAGTTCCTCCTCTACAGGCTTGAGAAGAAGGGGGAAACATAAGGGCTCTGACGTTTTAATTTATTTATTTATTTTTTGAAGTTCCAGTCTGAGACTAGGATGGAGCTGGACATCTAAACAGGGAGCCTGCACAGGACCAGCACAGTCTGATCTTTGTTTGCCCTCAGAACCCCTTCAGTAAAACCTGCAGCTTTCTGACCATGAAGCTCTGGATTGTAGGGCTTTTTCTGGTGCTGCTCTGCATGGAGCCTCAAAACGGTGAGTGACGCCTCTGTTCCTCTTCTGGTCAATAGATTTGTGAACAAAGCGGTAAAACAGTTAATGACATCCTGAAGACTAAAAGATTAATCTGGAAGACAAAGGAGGATTTGATCATGTGAAGCTCTGTAAACACTGGCAGGAGACGGTCCAGACTCTCTCTCTCTCTCTCTCTCTCTCTCTCTCTCTCTCTCTCTCTCTCTCTCTCTCTGTGTGTGTGTAAAGGTTCACCCTGAAGATCTCCTTCACAGCACAGTCTGTTTACATGCATATTATTTCATCCATGCTATGAAATATGCAGCAGCTGATTTGCTGTATTTTATCCACGTATGTTTGCGTTTCAAACAGAGGAGTAAGTTTTTCTGCAGAAATACTTGGTAGATCTGAAAGAATGCAACAGCTGTTTCTAATTATAAGCCTTTTTTCACTGCCGTCCTTTCCTCTGAGTTCATTTTTATTTTGCCCTAAGGCAAGTTGATTAAAAATAGAATAAGTTTGTATTCTGAGTGTAAGAGAGAAAAGCATCAGAAAACAAAAAGCTATTATCAGACATTTTGAATCAGAGTTTCAGACACTCTTCCTTTTGTCACAGCTGGATAGATCCTTCATCTTCCTCCTCTCTGCCTCTGCAGGTGCCGGCCAATTGTTGAAGAGAAAAAAAGATGTAGGAGAAACTCAAACCCGCCCAGGTGGGAAGCGTGTGAGGATTCGCCTCCCTAACCTGAACGGCAAAAAGGTCAAAAGCCATTCCCTGCTGACACAGGTTCTAGATAAGGGCCGCTTTCTGCGCCTGGGTGAGAGCACCATCCTGACTCCAGGGAGGAATTTGGAGCTGCGCTGCAAAGGAAGTCATATTGGATGGTCCTACCCCACCTACCTGGACACCTTCAATGACTCGCGCCTCAGGTGCTGCTGGGAAACACCTGCTGTTTCACACAGAGAGGCGGTGGAGGGGTTTGTCTCGTCATTTTTTCATTTTTATTTTTTTGCTTTTTGCTTGTAGCATCAAACAAAGTGACAAGTACAGTCAGCTGGTTCTCACGTCGCCCTCCGCTGCAGACACCGGGCCTTACAGCTGCTGGGTCATAGTGTGTGATGGAGCAGAATGTCACAGGGACCAGGATCGCACCTACGCATCATACATCTACTTCCCAGGTGATTCTCAGGCTTTATTTTAAACTGAACTACCTCTTTGTTTATTATTTTTGTTTAGTTGCTTTAAAACCTGGACTTTATTTAGAGTTTTAGTTTGATTGAAGGTTCTTTTAACTGAAAGGTTTTCTTACTTTTCACAAGCAAATTGCTGCAACTGTTTCAGGTTTTATGGACATGGCTTGTGTTTGACAATCTTTAAATCAAACTAGAATCCAAGTTGGACTGAGGTCGGAACTTCTACTGGATTGGATCTCTTTAAACTCTGAAATGTTGCTACCCTTGAGTGTTTAGGGTCAGGGAGATCCTCTAGTGTCAAATTTGTAAAATTTTAAAACCTTTATTTTAACAGGTAAGTCAGTTGAGAACCATTTCCCATTTCTAATGATGACCTGGTTAAGAAGAAAATCTCTGGAAGACCTCAACAGATTTCCATCAAGAATATTTCTGTGTTTTGGTCCATCCATTTGGTTTTTCAGTCCCTCCTAAAAACAAACATCCCCACAACATGATGCTACCACCACCATGCTTCACTGTAGGAAAGCTGCTTTCAACATGAGATGGTAGATCTGAGTGAGGCATGGTGTTTGAAGAAATTCCAAACAGTCAGCCTTATTTTAGTTTTTTCTTGACCTTTGTCTTTTTCCTGCCACTCTAGCTCTGTAAAGCTTATAGTGGTTTTATGAACAGATGCTCCCAGCTCTACCAGGGTTATCTTTGACCCTCTGGATGTTTCTATGGTTTATGCTGTCCTTGCTTGGGCTGTGAATTTTTATGGATGTCCCATCCTTGGCAAGTTTAGTGTGATGGTATCGTCATTCCTATTTTGTGGTAAAGGGTTATTGATGCTCTGTGGAATGTTCAAGGTTTGAGATGTTTTTGGACATCACTTCTCAGATCATCTACCTCTCAGACTGTCCACAGGTTAATCAACCTTTATGTAATGGCTGCAGTTTCTAAACAAAAAGTGGGTAAAACAACAAAACAAATAGCCTGGTAAAAACCAGCTCCTTGTTTTATGCTTTGCTTTGTACAGAAGGTCTGGACTCTCAGCTGTTGAGAAATGATTTCTTGCTGGAGGCGTGGACTCTGTTGAAGTTTAAAATGATTGTGAGACAACTTTAATTAATTTGGAAGCCTTGCCAACATGGACTGAATGGCTTTATTCACTTTCTCCGCTGCCATTGCAAAACTACAGGCAGACAAAAACGAGGCAGAAAATCAGTGTTGTCGTTCACAACTCTTCCTTCTGTTTGCTGATTGGCTCGATCGAAGTTTTACCTGAGAAATCTATGTTAATGTGAGAAAATCACAGACATAGCAGAGGAGAGAGATTAGAATTGAGCAGAAGGCTACAAAACAAAAGAAAAGAGGTGAATATGTTTTACATCCACTGCAGAAGCTTATTATGGAATGTGTTATGAGACAACCCATGTTTTTGAGGGTGGATTTACACATTTTCACCAATTATTGTTACATTCAGAAAACCAGATAAAACACCCAACAATGCCGGACTGCAGCTTTGGGTTTCTGTTTTGCAGCAACAAGAGTTGGGTACTGAATTAATGCTCAGTATATGGCACAGGCAGAAGCCTGGTTAAAACAGAGAATTAGTTGGTGATTTGTTGTTTAGTAGGACAAGTAATGATTTTTGACAAAGTGAGAAAAGAAAGAGTCATTAAGTCATAAAATATTGGAAAGCAAATAGAGTAGTGACTCTCAAAGTCCAGACTCTGGACTAGAACTGGACTGAATGACAACTCAGTCTGGGCCCAGTAAGTCCAGATGTTCTGTTGCTTTGCATTGAAATGCATTGGTGCAGTGCAATGAAGTGTATTTTTATTGCTCTTATAGGAGTGGTGTGGCTCTGTTAGGAATGCACAGAGGAAGAGGAGTGCACAGAGAGAGAGAGGGTGGGAGTGAGTGTTGAGGCAGAGGAGCTCAGCTGTAAAAGGCTGGATCTCTAGCATTAAATGTACAATGTGGACTGCAGTGAGAGCAATAAATGCTACAAATCTTCAAGTGGCAAACTGTCAGTCTGTTGTCTTACTGCTGTGTAAACAAAAAGGCTTCAGACTTGAAGCATGTGGTAGCTTTGACCTCTGTCACATTAATGGTGTCCTTTCCAAAACGTAGACAGTATTACAACTCATTGCCCTGGTGTTATCAAAACTAGCTAAGAAAGAACAAGTAAAACAGAGTGTTCAAAGAAAAATATGGATTCAATTTGTCCTCCTCCTCTTTGGATTCATATTTTTTGCATGAGTCGACAGTTTTTGCAGTGAATGTAGTAAAAAGCTCATGTTGGCTTTTGTGCCAATATTTAGGCAGCTCAGAGGATATACAGTATTGTAGTGGCACCACCATCATAAGTGGAGCGATAGTGTTATCAGGCAGTTGCCAGAGAGTTTGATATTCAGATAAAATAGTGAGTGAAGTTTAGCAGACAGAGATGTCTTATAAGATGTGTTTCCACTGACTATGAAAATGTGCAAATTAGAATTTCGAAAATAAATTTGGTCAATGGAAACACGTCAATTTAGAAAAAACTTCATTTTTTTCAACAAAATGTTTTTGCGCTAGGATGAGGTGGTTTTTTGGCCGTATTGAAATTAGTGTATTTCGCAAAAATGCAATGGAAACACTTTTTTCGCATCACGGGAGTCACGTGATCAACAACCGGCTGTTTCTACTGGCGAAAAAGATGACAACGAAGAACACAACAGGAAGTAGAAGTAGTAGTAAAATCACCGAAGTTGTAAAAGAAAGTAAACTCACCGAAAACAATTTCCCAAAAATGCCGCATACATAGCCGCTCCCAAATATAAGAGGCTCGTCGCTCGAAAGCCTCGATAAGACGCCGACGTCTCCTCTGATGGCTGATGATGAGCGCTACTGTCATGGTAGCAATTACCGGTACCATATGCTTGTGTTTACATCCATTGCCACCATGTTCGTAATTACTTATCGCGAGAACAAATGTATTCATGCGTTTAATAGCATTTCTTACTTAATGGAAACATTGCAAGTGCAAAGCTGTGTTTTTCGACATCAACAGAATATCGACAAAGTTTTGCGCACATTTGCAATGGAAACACAGCTAAAGATGTATTAGACAAGCACTTTTCATGAGTCTGAGTGGTCATACTGTAAAATACCTGGCATGGGGGGTGCACAGATGTTCCAGTGGCCCAAGAGGACCTGCTCAGATCATGAAGGTTCTGGTAGCTTAGGATAGACCAAACTGCGTTTGTCATGGTTTGTGTCGAACATCACAAAACCCTATTCCTTTTGTCAGTTTAATGCCACTTACCCTTTCTTCCAAGCAGACAAAGAACACCTCTTCGTTCCATCAGCCATCCACTTTGAGATTGTATACCTGCGTCCAGACATGCCCACTGTCGTCCCCTGTCGTGTGACTGAGCCCCAAGCTAAGACGTCCCTGCACAGAGAGGTCCCTGCAGAGGAAATCACAGCCAACACTACTCGGGTGACCTATGACCCAACCAGAGGGTTTGTGCTACAACACTCCACCCCGGAAAATCAGGGGGTCTTCTACTGCAAGGCTGTGTTCAGAGAGACCCCTCAAGTCTCCAACAAGTACCAGCTGTTGTACGTGGAAGGTGAGGACACGGCCGTTACACAAACACGCTAATGAAGCAGTTACAAACAGAACTCTTACTTCAGCCAGCTCACTGACAGAGCCACGACCAACTGTGACACCGTAACTCTTGTAACTTAACACTTCAGTGACTGATGTTATTTATTTTTCTACCTCTTGTGAATAGTTCCCAGTGGGCCACCATTTGTGAGCCTGGGAGCTTCTCCAGAGACAGTGAGAGGAGGAGACAACGTCAACATAACCTGCACTGTGCTGGGAGAACCAGAGGTGGACATGAGCTTCACCTGGTCTTATCCTGGTCAGGTGAGAAAAGAGTTGGACTTAAATCTAGAAAGTTTTTAAAGAGTTGTTTGAAGGGTGGTAATGCAAATACTGTCTGAGATCCCAACACCCTTCTCATAAAGCTCAAACTCTTTATGTTCAGGTTTGAATAGAAAATTTAGGGTTAAAATAATAC